AGCTTTTATTTCATCAGGAAGTTTTGAAGCATTATAAGTTATGCGTTTTCTTTCAATGTTGGTAACATTTGTACTAACAATATCATGTTTGATTTTATAAATTAATTTATTACTGCCCAACTATAAAGTAAGGTTAGATAGCTCAGAGATGTCATCAGTTATTGAATTGTTGTACTGTTCCTAACTGATTTTGTACAGATTAGGGTGTAAATAACTTCACCTGATTAGTTTAAATTATTTTTACAGCCTAGAAAATAATTGAATACTTTGGAAGTTAACATAGACAACAATAAAGCTTAAATTTTAAAACGCTTTTTAAAAATTATATTGTAATTTTAAAGACAATGTTTCTGGTCTACTGGATACTCCTTAAGTCATAACCGTAAAGCGATATGTACCTAAATAAATTATGTTTAGTTTTTATTCAAAAACCGTTCGTCGGACAAAAATAAGATATAATGTGTAAATATGAAAGAAGGTACTACCTACTAGAAATAACTATTTTTTTAAAGCAGTGGTGTGTCCTTGTTTTTCTTAAAAAATGTCAAAAGCTTGTCAGTGTGAACGCCATGGCGCGCCACTTTAGAAGTAGAACAAATATTTCTGTTAGACAAATTTATAATTTGTTTACTTAATTGTTATCTATTAAAATTTAAAAAATATAAGAACAATTTTTTTTTTAATTTCAGCCTATTGGGCACTCTTGCTTTTTTGCATATTTGATACATCTAATAAAAATTATACCTAGTAAAAATTGTATTTATTTTTATAATTAGTATAATAAACACATTCCCAACACTGTATAAACTAACCATTTAAAAACAACACTCAATAATAAGATAATAATAAAATTTGCCAAGAATTATATATATATTTTTTTTTAAACCACCTTTCTTTAACAAAAGCTGATTGGGATTGCCAGAAATCAAAATGTCCTAAATAAAAATTTTAAATATGGAATAGATAGACATATTTATAACTAAATTAAAAATACTTAAATATTGATTTATAATTTTCCCTGAAAATTTTTCAGTTCCATTTAATAAATACAATAAACTAATATACTAATATAGTACTTTTATTCTGAAACGCTGAATTATAAAAGATTTTGCTTCTATATTTTCATTAAATTTAGATGGTTTGGTAAAGTTTACCATAAGTTTACCGTAAACCTACGCAGATCCCTTTAAAATAATAGACAACTAACTACCACTCTTTCGTAAAACTTCAAAGGAGCCAGACAGAAGGGACAAAAAATGTGGTTTTTTGTTGTCAAAAAGGAAAATTTAGAAAGATATGGTTTTAAAAAAATGAAGAAAAAAATATATGTCTGTATATTATTACATTTTCAAAATAAAATGCAATGGGCAAGTTTTTTAAATAAAACAAAATGCCCATAAAGTAGTTTTAATTAAAAACGATGTTTTTTCAATTCTGAACACGGTATAATTCCAAAATTAAATTAATATTAACTTTTTTCTGAAAACCATCCAATGTTTAGTATCAACATTAAATTAATTGAAACCAGGATGTTATAAAATAAAAATAAAAAAATACAAAACATATTTAATACAAAATATATCACTACATGTAGTGATTGTTTAAAGATCTGGTATTATTCGTTTGTCAGAACTAAACTTGAATATGGGTGCCTTATTTGGTATTCATATTATAAGTATACAATTTTTAAACTTTGGAGAAAAATTATATCTGTCATTTTTTTACATAATTTGTTACACAATAACATTGACTGAAGTTGTCTTTTATCACAACTTAAGTTTTTAGTTCCTAGTATAATAATTACACCAACTTTTCTTGTTTCTAGAGCAAACACAAATTTATTACATAAGTCACCAGGTTATGTTATGTGCAACTACTTTAATAGTATTTGGGTAATCTGTGATATTAAACTTTATCTGTAATTTAAATGTCGTTTTGTCTATTAAAAATATGATTTTAAAAAGTTTTTTGGTATTGGCAAAAATTAAATGTTTACTTCCAAAATTCCCAAATATACAGCTTATAAATTAATTAGTTATTTTTAAATATTTTTTACTTTTACGCTATAATTTTTTGATGGTAATACGTAAATTATTGGTTTATTCTATGTATACATAAGCGTATATATAAGTGTATATATAAGTGTATGTATAAGCGATAAATCCCATTTTCAATCATTTTTTTATTTAAATTACTTTACCTCACATAGAACTAATAAATAAATGTACTACTACGTATTTAATTCTACAGTGTGTATCAGCCAAATGGAATAAATTCGATAATACATAAATGGGGACATGTTCCTAAAAATGCTCGGACACGTCGATTAGTATTTTTAGTTGCGCACTTTTTTCAACAAAATCTTTTTGTACAGGGTGTCTCATATATCAGTGGCCAATACCAACTTTAAAATTTCAAATGGAACACCCTGTATTTTATTCAATTTTTAGATTCTTCAGAAAATTATAGACATATTTCATGTACAATGTCCTATACCTATCTTCAACTGTTTTGGAAATATTGAAAAATTAACATTAAAGAACGATAATTATCATAATTATAATTATTTAATTACATAAAATTGCTACAACACTGAAAAACGAATAAGTTATACTGTTTATTTTTTCATATTGTAAACAACAAAAAAGAACAATTGTCAATGTAGGAGATGTTCAAAATGCTCGCCGAGAACGACTTGGTATCATCCTAATCTTAAATAGAAATTACTTCTAACGTTACTCAACATCTGAGGTGTGACCGATCTAATCGCCAGCGTTATTCGTATTATTAAGTCAGCTAAGTCGAGGGGTTTGGTTTTGTATACAATACTTTTGACATATCCCCATAGGAAGAAGTCTAATGGCGTCAGATCAGGGGATCGTGCTGGCCATTCCATTGATCCTCTTCTCCCTATCCACCGATTTGGAAATATTTGTTTGAGGTACTGCCATACATTGATTTCATAATGGGGCGGTGCTCCATCTTGCTGAAACCAAATCATTTTCGCTGGAACTTGTGGGTTTGCTGGATCATGATATAAGTTTGTTACAGTAGGCACGATATTATTTTGGAGCAGTGCTAAATAATTATTGCCATTTAAATTGCCATCAATAAAAAAGGGACCTATGATATTATCTCTAACAATTCCTGCCCAAACATTAACCTTCTCAGGATATTGCGTATGTTCTTCCCTCATCAAGTGAGGATTTTCCTTAGACCAATAGCGTCAATTTTGACGATTAACTTGACCATGAAGTGTAAAGGTGGACTCATCAGAATACAAAACATGTTGTAATTGGATCACATTGTTATCTAACATTGCCATCATTTCTTCACAAAAATACGTTCTCCTATCAAAATCGTCTTCCGTGAGCTCCTGAGTTGGTATCATTTTATAGGGATGCATTTTATTTTCTCTTAAAGTTCGAAAAATCGATGAATGGCTAACATCGAACATTGGGGCTGCTTTTCGACTAGAAGTATGTGGGTTTTCCTCAAACTCAAGCATAATATCCAACTTGGTATCATCACTTATTACTTTTGCAGCTATTTTTTTCATCTGCTTTACATGTCCAAGCTCGCGAACTGCTTTTCTATTTTACTCATTGTCCCTTGGAATATAGGAGGTAAATTTAAAAATTTTTCTTGAAATAAGCGAACAACTTCCATTTCTGTCCGTGTTCTATCTCCATAACCAATCATCTGTAGAATTGTTATTTTGTACATTTCAATTAAATGAACCATTTTTCTGATGTGCAGTTAACGAAATTCAAACACAAAACTTATAGCTTTTTTTATTTCATATCAGGTCCACTAAAATTAATTTTTTAATATTTCCGAAACACTTGAAGATAGGTATAGGACATTGTACGTGAAATATGTCTATAATTTTCTGAAGAATCCAAAAATTTAATAAAATACAGGGTGTTCCATTTGAAATTTGAAAGTTGGTATTGGCCACTGATATATGAGACACCCTGTACAAAAAGATTTTGTTGAAAAAAGTGCGCAACTAAAAATACTAATCGACGTGTCCGAGCATTTTTAGGAACATGCCCCCATTTATGTATTATCGAATTTATTCCATTTGGCTGATACACACTGTATAAATTATGTATAACTGTTATACTATAGCATATATGCTATGTCATAACAACAATATTTTAGCAGCCTAATTATCCACCTTATTTTTTTAGTTGTACAAGGTTTTATTTATTGACCACCTAATTAAATAGATATATGTTTTAAGCAGGGTTTTTTTGAAAATGGCTCATTGATAAAGGTTAGAAAAAACATTTTGTTTTTGAAGATTATTGATTAATTACGCATCTTAGTTTAAAAATTTTGTAAAAACTCTGGGTCATAAGATACAATCTAATAGCGTTTGTTATAAAAACAAATTAGGTAAGATAGATGAGCTTGACTTGGTTAACAGATACACAAATATGACAGTTTGTTACAGAAATAAAAACAACAAATCATCAAAACTTTTTTAACATTAAAAATTTGTTAATGTTTTTATGAATAATTTTATAAAAAAAAAATAATAAAATAAAATCAAATATTTAGCCCAACTTAAACCTAGAATATAATAAAATATACAAAATTCAAAAAATTTCATTAGAAACGAGTAACAAAACATTTATTTAAAAAGTATTATGCAAATTTTTATTTTTACCTTACCAAAAAATATACATCAAGTATGTAAGTATATAAGTTATAACGTTAATATAATTAAATTGTTTTTTTTTATTTTAGTGATTCTAGGATTTAAAAAAGTTTTTATATGTAATTTATGATGATTTTAGTCATAAAATATATCTGACGGCAACCATTTTTTTGTATTATTTATTATGCTTATGTTTATTTAGAGTAGATTTAAATTTTAAAAAGAGTTTTTTTTAATTGGTAATTTGAAGCTTAATTAAATGAATGGCACATTTAATATTTATATAATTAAAAATATAATAATGAAATATGTATGAACAATATAAACTTACCGAAACTGAATCAACGTTGTTGTTGACAAATGTTGAAAATTTCGCGGCACTCTCGGATCTGCGTGCGACGTCCGATCGTCGACTGAAAGAGACGCGCGTAGTCCAGCCGCGGTCGCCGCTCTTGCAGGACGTCTCGACGCCACCAGACGCCTCCTCGTCGCCATCTGCTGGCGGAAGGCTGAAGCGCACGCGGCGGGTCTGAAACAAACAACACACGGTTAGCGCGACGCTCTACAGGTGGACAATGAATTTGTGTGCCTTTGAATAAAAGGGGCCTGAGTGCACTTCTATATATAGAGATGTAAAAAAACGGTTTTTTTCAGATGTGAAAAAAACATGAAAAAAAACTAGAAATAAAACGGTTTTTTTGTTTTTCTTCAAATCCGCTACAATAAAGCATATTCTGTCAATAAATGACAAAAATGGAGTAATTTTTCAAAATGAAATTTTGAGTAAAATGTAAATAATAATAAAGTGAAATGTAGAATACCTATATTACATTTTTCATTATTGAAAATTTTGACCGAAACTAAAAAATCTGATTTCTTATTATTTGGTAGTTTCCACCAGTGGCGGATTGGGGATTTTGGGTATACCAATATCTCAGTTATTAGACATGGGACCCACACCAAATTTATAATAGTTTATTATGACATTAAATAGACAAGTTCGGCGAAAACAGAATTTAAATTGAAGTTTGCGAAAAAAATTTAGTTTTTTGTGTCGCCTCACCTGGCTTCTGCCCCCCCCATTTGAGATAATTCAAATTAAAGTTGTGCAATTTATACTTCACTATAATTTATCGGTAAATTTAAAATTTTATTTGAAAAATCTAAATATTACAGATTTTATTCCATATTAAATATTTTTTTATTATAATAAAATAAATAATAAAAATTTAAAATCGTATAAAATCTGTAATATTTACATTTTTTAAATAAAATTTTAAATTTGTCGATAAATTATAGTGGAGTATAAATTGCACCACTTTAATTTGAATTATCTCAAATGGGGGGCCAGAAGCCAGGTGAGGCGACACAAAAAACTAACTTTTTTTCGCAAACTTCAATTTAAATTCTGTTTGCGCCGAACTTGTCTATTTAATGTCATAATAAACTATTATAAATTTGGTGTGGGTCCCATGTCTAATAACTGAGATATTGGTATACCCAAAATCCCCAATCCGCCACTGGTTTCCACATAAGAAACCAATAGCAATGTAAAACTTGTACACTAAAAGAAAAAATTAAAGGATAAAAAAATTCCAAATTTTTTGCGATTTTTTTTATAGCTGTAGGTATCTTTGTTAAAAATGGTCGTATTGGAGCCGTAAAAAAAGCAATTTGAAGCTTGAAATTTGTTTGGCTTTCTTTTTTCGATGTGGCTCCCGTCCCGAGGCGGGACTTAAGTTCAGTCCCGATTGACGTCACACACTGTAAATCCGTTTTTATTCCCCGAGATTTTATAATTTGTGTCAAGCTCGATGGCTTAGATGGTAGGGCGGTCGCTTGGCATGCGAGAGGTACCGGGTTCGATCCCACTAGAAGTTGTAAAACTTTTTTTATTTTTTTATTTTATAAATTTGTTGTTTCTTTGTTAAAAAGTGTTTTATTTTTATCGTAACATAAATTTGCCCATTTTAGTTGGGTTTTTTGCTCAATGGGGCGGGGGGGGCCCAATGGGGCGGGGTCGGTTGGGTTGTGTTGTTGAGTTTGGGTTGGTTTGGTTTTATGACGTAACTAAAGTGCCCTTAACATGTATACAGGTACAATTTATTATTATTATTATTTTATTATAACATAACAAATCTTAAAATTATGACGTCAATCGGGACTGAACTTAAGTCCCGCCTCGGGACGGGAGCCACAGCGTTCTTTTTTAGTCAACAGAATGTTCTGACCAATGAATAAATGTTCTACAAGAATTTGCTATTTTGAAAAAAAAAATTCCATACTCTACATGAATTTAAAAAATCATGAAAAAAGTGCTTTTGGTAGCTTTTTGAAAAATCAAGCGCTTAATCAAAAATATTATAGGTAGTTACTTTTTTTAGGACCAAATCAAAACAATGCGGCCCTTATTGGTCAATTCGGTGGTGGTGGCGCGACACTATATTTACATTTACTAAATGTCATTTAGTGGCTAATTTTAGTCCATGAAACATAAAGAATTATGCAAATGAGAATAATCTTGAAAAAAAACCTAAAATATGAAGAAAAAAACAATGAAAAAAACCCGAAAAAAACGGACCGTTTTTTTGTTCAAGTTGCATCTCTATCTATATACCGGGTGTATCTGAGAATAGGCGCACCCCTGTAACTTTTTTATTTATAAAGATGGACACATGAAATTTTTATTTTTTATGGTTAATAAGGATATAAAATGCCACTTATAAGAGTAAAAAATGAATTTTTTTAACTTCCGGTTTGGCCCTATATATTTTTACATATTCGGAATCCTGAGGAAATTCTGAGTCAGACAGCATCCTCAAATGGACCTTTTGACGTTTCGTCATTAAAAAATGTATCATCATAAAGATCAATCTAGAGTTCTTTGAACTATCTTATTTTCTTCTAATGGATCCACACAATGCCTGAAAAATAGAACTTGCCTTAGAAAATTGTTATTCAGCTATTCCCAGCAGTCTAAACTTGTCAAAATTCGTTTAAAGCACTCTAGATTGATCTTTATGATAATGCATTTTCTGATGAAGAAACGTCGAAAGGTCAATTTGAGGATGCTGTCAGACTCAGAATTTACTCAGGATTCTAAATATGTAAAAATATATAGGGCGTTCCATTTAAAAATCGAAAGTTGATATCATTTCCGGCGAGACCGGAAGATCAAAAAATTCATTTTATTCCCTTGTAAATGGCATTTTATATCCTAATTAACCATGCTAAATTTCATGTGTCTATCTTTATAAATAAAAAAGTTACAGGAGTGCGCCTATTCTCAGATACACCCGGTATACAGTGTGTCCCCGGATAAACCTTACTTTACTTGTGAATTTTCTTATTTTGCATTTTAGTAGAAGAAGTTTTGCTTATTCAGTAAATTCCATATCCATCTTAAAAATTTAGAAATAACAAGAATTTAAAAAACAAGAAATGTATAATCATGTTAAGTATAAAGTACCTGTTTTTTTAAGAAATGTACAAATCTTTGAGAAAAAAGATGTTTATAATTTCAATATAAATTTAGATTTAAAATTTGAACAGTGTAATTAAAAGTTATTGCTTTCGATTAAAGTAAATAATAATTACACTGTAGGTAAATTTTTAACTTTTGAAATATCACAGCTATACGCTCGGACACGTAATAGTATATTACACTACAAGGGCAGAAAGTGTGAGATTCCTGCACTGCGGAATATGCCCGAGGCGAAGCCGAGGGCATCATGGCGCGCAGTTCAGGGCTCTCACACTTTCTGCCCGTGTAGTGTATACTATACGAAAATACAACCCGGCCGAAAATACGGGAAAAAATTAAATGTGTATTTATGTACCTATCTCCATTTGAAGAGCTTGATAAATAAATAACAGTAGGCCGTGAATTCAGCGGTGCCAATACAGTAAAAATAAAAGGTTGTATTTTAATTAACAAATTACTACTTTATAACAAATAAAAGTACCATTAAACACTTAAAACAACATAAAAAGTAAGAAAGTAAAAACATAAATTGTTTATTTGTTGTTATAATTGCAAAATTATGGTTTAAAACTGTCATATTTTTGTGTTTCTCATGTTGGCAGTACGAAATTTGAATGTTAGGCACGCGTATAGCTTGACCAATGCATAAAACGTTCTTTCTGCCGTGGAATTGGGGGCGAAACAACGTATTTTGAGTCGAGGTAGTAAGAAACATAATTTTTGGTCGTAGATTCCAAATTCGTGCTCGGTTTAGCTGTATCAGGTCTAAAAAAGTTTTTCCTATTGGAAATCAGATCCGGGGACACACTGTATACTGGTATATTATAATTTGTAAAATAATATAATTCACCAACAATTTTATGCTTTTTATTTCATTTAATATATCCTCAATTATACTCAATGAAAAAAATCAGCAAAAAAACGTTTCAAATTTCCAAAATTATCTAAGAAAAACCCTTAGTATTTGTTATTTTTTTAATTTGGAACTAATGTATGGGTTCCGTCAAATTTAATTTAAAATAAAATTATACAGGGTGTTTAAATTTATTCAGGGTGTTTCCAATATCTTTGAATTTTGATACAGCTAAACCAAGCACGCACTGAGAGAAAAGAATATTTTTAACAAACGTTGCAATTGTTTGAGCATGATTGCTTTGAATCAAACAACTGAAATTTAATTCAAAATTAGTGTTTTTGCTTAGAATGGGTGAACTACGTTGCCAGAAATGGATGATTCGTTTAGGCTGCTGTGTTTGCTTGGAATATTATTAAGTTCTATGCAAAGTTTGTACTGATGGTCAATAATATTAGGTGTTTTACGTTTGAATTAAATTTAGGTGGGTTTTCATAAAACGTGCAATATTTTCCACTAAAATTTATTAATGGGTTAACTGAAATAGATAAAACTTATAATAAATCTGCTACAATTTTTGCGAAAACCTCAGCATTTGCAACAAATATAATAAGTTTGAGGCAAACATATCAAAGTTAATGGGCAATTGTGCTTAGTTTGGAAGCACAATTTTTGGAGTGGGGGAACGCCTCTTGAAACGCGTCTTCTCGTGCAGTGTCTTATAAAGTTTTAAATTTGCACCCACTGTATACATACGGTTCTTACAAAATAATTTTGCTTCCATGAAAACATTTGGATGAAATGGCATAACGTTTAAGAATATTGTATAAATAGTCGGCCTTATCACGAAGTGGCCTAAACCACAAAATTGAAAACAGTGACATTTTGAGAGAGTTCTTACGATGGTCTATTCTATTACTCCACGAGGTGGGCCATAGTACAAAGTCTGTGCTGTAAAAATACATAGGCCATTTCGTGAGAATATAATAGACCATCGTAAGTTAATCTGCGAAAAATCTCATTTTGTTTTTTAATTTTGTGGGTTAGGTGACTTCGTGATAAGGCCAACGATTTATACAATGTTCTTAAGCATTATGAAGTTTCATCCAAAGAAACCGTAATTTCTTCAGAAATGCAGGTACGTTTAATGGAAATGAACTTTATTGGTAACAAGCAGATACCAATTTTTCCT